AAGATATAACCTGCAGTACATCAGGCATAATATTGCACTGGACTATCTTGCATCTTGCATCTAGTCTAAAACCAATATATATTATTGTGCATTATTAAAATTTGAAAGAAATTGACAAGACTAGGGGATAGAAAAGATCTTGAAAAAATGTTTTATATTTCTATTATCTTATTAGAAAATAACATACCAGAGCAATTTGGAACAAAAATACTGGGGTCTATCAAACAGGAATGACAGGAACTCAGAGCAACAAAAAGGTACAAAATTTAATTCATATCAACAAAGCATGGGTTAATAAAGCTGTTGGAGGAGGGAGCTCCAGTTCTTCCAGGAAATATTAGCAACCAGAAAATAAGAAAATAATTATAGTTACCTGAACAGCAAGACAGGCAGCATTATCAGAAAGCAAAATCTGTTCCTCTATAAAATAAAATGCAGTACAATTATTTAAAATAATAGTTCTTCCCTCTGCTGATAATTGCACATCATTATGAGTACAAAAATAAATGGTATACAAACACACAGAGACAAACTATTTTAACACAAATCACACGCCCCATTACATTAATGCCACTTTACAAAACCTGAGGCCAGAAGTCCCATAAACATTTCTCCTGATGTGTCCTATAATTTGTACCATTGCCCCAACAGTTAAAAGAATCCCTAACAAAAGATATATCCTAAGGTTTTTTTGTTTTCTTTATTATAGGCAAAAAAAATTAATAATCACTCATTTTCTAATAGAAATAAAACCCACAACTTCATAATTCTTCTTGCTAAAAAGTAAAAGCATTCATAAACCTATAAAAAAAACCCAGCTTGCAGTTAATATTGCAGACTGTGTCTAGGTCTGTCACACAAAAGAAAGATGACAAGTACACAGCAATAAAAATTCCATGCTTAGAAGACTAGGGCTGCTACCTATTAGTCTTCATTACTTTGCAGTCTTCTGACAACTGTAGCAGGCTGCTGAGCCCCAAATGGGGGCCATAATGTGATCTGATGATATATGAAGAGCTGCTAAAGGGAGCCTGAACCATCCTAGCCTATACATTTTAACAGTTCCTTTTTATCGAGAGCCCACTTTACCACAAGACTTCAAAAATCTGCTGCCTCAGCTATTGGTGCAGTAAATCTGCCAACTGGGCCTACAAACCACATCATTTTACACTGCCTACAGCAGCCAATATAATGAGTCAATAATAAACCAAGGACCTTATAGGCCATGAATAGCAGGTTTATATTGGCAAATACAAGTTTAGCACAATCCTCTGACCAGATAAGTATCATAAAGGATTCCCTTTTCAACAAGGCCTCTCCTGCCCTTCACCCACACCAGGGTTCACTTAATTATAAGGATGCATATTTAATGAAGAAAATTTAGCTAATTGAGAAAAACAAAATGCACACCTTTCAATGGCTGATAGAGCACAGCATTCTGAGGCCAAGGTTCAGCAGCTATAGGAAGGGTGAAAAAAAACATAATTTATAAGGTGAGCATTTGTTATTGCTTTTACACCAGATTTTCTCTCGATTTAGATTGATAAGGCAGCTTCCTCTACTTAATAGCTTTACCCTAATTTATTATTTTTTAAAGAAAGATAAAAACAGAAAGGAACATTTAAGGTTAGAAAAAGAAGAAGAAGAAAAATACAAAGCCAAAAGTACAGAGAGAAAAAATAAAGAAAAAAATAAAAATGACTTCTGATTTTTCTTTTACAATCATAAGCATAAATTTAAATTGACCTCTTACTCTATTGCAACATAATTTTCATTGTTTCTACCATCTATTATTTTCTAATCATCAAACCGATATATTACAATTTAATTGCTTTCAAAAGTCAAGAGTTTCCAGTCACCATTAATATTAACCAGTGTGTTTTCTCTAATTAAAGCTGTCAATTTTGCCATCTCAGCAAGCTGCATCATATTCAACATCCACTCTTCCCAATCTTTCCATCGTTGTATATATAGAAGTCTCGCTACTGTTATCATATATAAAAACAAAGTTCTATGAGTTTTTTCCAACTTTTTGTCAATCAATCCCCAAAGAAAAAAGTCTGGCTTCACTTGCCTATTAATCTTTTAAATCCTTGGAATTAATGTATGTATTTGAATCTTTTTTTTTTTTTTTTAGCTTTTACATGTCTACCAAGCATGATAAAAAATTCCCTCTTGTTCATATTTCCAGTATAAATTTGAAGCATGTTTACATTTTAGATAATTTTTTTCCAATGGAAAATACTAACAAAACTTGAAGTTGATGTCAACGGATGATTTCCTTCCCACAGTACATAATAGCTTTGGAAGAGAGACTTTACTCAGGAAACTAACACAAAGGGAAGAGTTAATTTGTCTCTTCAAATGGCTGCAATGCTTATAATTATTACAGGCACGTGCAATTTCTTTTTGCAAAAAATAGCAGCTTAAATGCAAACTTTGGTTCTAAGTTGAAATCTGAATTGGTAAATAAAGATGTGATGTTTTTTTAGGATAGGATGGACTGAACTATACAAATAACTGGAGGCGAAGAGCTTCAAAGATAAGGTGCTGCCAAAGAAAATGGATGGAGGTATGAGACAATAGATGCAATCTTTACGCTAACCAAGAGATTTGAATCAAAAAACCCGCAGAGCTCTAGAATGAGCATAAAGATACAAGGAAGTTAAATCAGGGGTAATAAAGCATAAATATTTAGAAGAAATACTTTTTAAATTAACAAGCAGAAAAAGAGGTTAATCAAACAATGGGAAAAGGAAAAAAAGAAAAAGAGGCTGCTATGTAGAGGCAAGGATGGAAACTGCAAGAACAAATAATATATGTATCAGTTTTTAGATTGCAGTCTTTCCCTGGTCCAACCTAATGCCCTCAATGTTTGATTACAATTCACACTATTATAAACTAAGAATGATGGAGATGTAGTTGAATACATATGGAGTCACTAAGACAAGCACTGGCACAACTAAGTTTCATTTTTTTAAAAAAAACACAAGCTATTACATATTTCAGTAAATAAAAATATATAATATGTATATTAATGTGAATATCATTTTGAAAGTGGCTCAAAAATAAGCAATGAAAAATTGTGTAAGAATAACATTCCAATTTTCATACCTATGCTAAGGGTAACAAATTCCCCAAAAATGTTAAAGCAACAGTATCGCTTTTCAAAAAGGCATCTTTTTCTTTGCCAAAAAAAAAAAAAAACCAACACTAAGGAGATAGATGGAAAGAAAAACCTAATATAGCAATTGAGAGCCAGTCAACAAGCCTGCTCGTTAAAAATCCCAGAAACTGCCATATATCTTAGCTGCCACACTCCTGCTCTAAAATTTCCCTAACTGTAAGGAGCATTTCACCATGATAAAGCTTTTCTATGCTGCACACTTGTGACATCTGTAATGTGTAATTTGCCTCTTTGCTGGAATAGTCATGGTGTGTGAAAGAAAAGGGGTGGGTGGGAAAGCAATACTTAAGATTATCTAAGGAATCCTGGAGATGAAAGGAAACTTTTTGTAGGATCCGTTCTGCAATTTATATAGACGAGAAATTCAGCAAGCTAGGATGCTTATGTAAGCAAACAGGTAGCAAAGGTTTTATTTATTTATCAATTTATATTCCACCACAAGAGAAAGCTATTGGGGTTATATGGTCTATAACCAAAAGTTGCTAGGGAGGGAGAATGATGAAGATACTTTTGATGAAAAAACAGTCCTCTTTATAAATCATTGCAAACAACATTGTTTTTACTATCTATCGACCTTCTTATGCTGGACCCTTCCAGATCTGCAGAACTTTGACAGTTCTCATCATCTCCAGCAATCCAATCCCAAACATCTGGACAATATCAAGATAGAGAATGTTGCTATCTGCAAATTTAAAGAGGAAACGTGGGGACCAGGATTTTCCTGATGAGAATACGTCTCTGATTTATTGTTCAAAGTATGAATATACAAGGTTGAACATGGTATGCGTAGTACTGACATGCCAACACTGCTGGGCATAGCATTCTTGCAGTTTGGCATGACAATGTTAATTGACTTGCCCACAGAAAGAATCTGCATAAAGATAAATCAAAATACAGTTCAGCTTATTCTAGCTATAGACAGGAGAGATATAAAATTATTGTAATTGATAAAATGTAAATGATTTGCTAAGCCTATTTACCACAGCTGGTGCTTTTTGCAACAATTCCCTCAGTAAAAATTAAGAATGCTGATTTTCTGCATGACCTTGGAACCACAATAACAAAAATGCTTGACAGCTTTGTAATTATATGCCACTTTTCCAGTGAACTAAAATTATTTTTGCACAGGAGCTAGACGGGGCTGTAAGATATGTAAATGATATGTTGCTGTTGTTCTGTCATTTCCAATTCTTTGTGACCTATTCAGTGTCATGTCATTCGGATGCTTCAAGATCAGGATATCACTGGAGCCCAGTTTGGATTTTTCACCTTGTGCTGATTGTGTTTATATTTTAAATGTTTTTACTTGGCAACTTTTATTGCTTTTTCTACTATTTTTATGTGTTTATGTTTTTATGCTTGTTCATTGAGCTGTGTTATTCAATTAAGATGGACAATCATATAAATATGTATAGTAAATGCCTGTTAATGTTTTGAGTTCTCATAAGCTGAAACTTGGATCATCAGTGATAGCACCTATCCATCTGTCTGCTTGTTGACTGCCTTTGATCCTTTCAAACATCACAGTCCCCTCCAGTGATACTTGCCTCTGTATTGCGTGTCCAAAATATTTAAGCTTCAGCTTTGTTATTGGTGGTTCCTGTGAACAAGCTATATTTACTTCATACAGTACTGAATTATTTTTCTTGCAATCCAAAGTATTCTCCAGAATCTTCTCCAGGATCACAATTAAATTCTGCTGGGCCAGCTTTCATTACCATATGTTGTAAGTGGAAAACCAGAGCCTTCAAAATATGTACTTCTGTTGCATGTGTGATTTCTCTGCACTTTTTGTCTAGAAAGTCTAAAGTACACAGAGAAGTTAACTATAGCCAAGTGTCATAATGGAATACTTTTTTCCATTATAACATTAATATTAATCTGTTCATGCAGTGTAGACCAAGAGTCCCCAACCCCCAGAACTGGGCCACAGCACAAGTGGAAGTGGCGGGAGAGGAGTGAAACCAAAACCATTCCTCTGGTCTGTGGAAAAATTGTCTTCCACAAAACCAATCCCTGGTGCCAAAAAAGTTGGGGACCGCTGACAGACCTTTCCACTGAATAATATACAAGGTGATCAATAAAAAAATAGGGAACAATCAAAGCAAGGCAAGTATGACAAGTGTTTCTATGATATGCTGTTTAAGATAAAGTGAGCTAACATTAAGATGCACTAAAACCTCAATATCTACATGCACATCTAGAAACCTGAAATGTTATCGCTAGTCCCTATGGACCAGCATAGGATTGGTTCATGCTCCTGAAGGAATCCTAGGTTGGGAAAGATTGGTACAGACAATACAGCACTCCCTAAATGGGCAATAATCTGAGGCAATATAATACAGTTTCTTATATTCCTAAAATAAAAGTTATGATTTTAGAAGTCTTTTATGAACAGTTTTGTATGTCTAAAAATGAAAATTCAGCAAGATAAATTTCAATGAACTGCATTAAATTTTGTATTGTTCTAGCCAGAAAGATTACTTTGTTGTTCCTACTGAGTTCTGGAGATGATATTGCTATAAATGTAAACAAGTCATACATATAAAATTCACCAGCACAGAAAAAGAATTATTCATATATGGTATTTCTGAACTAAACCGTAACTTCAAATCAGTAAAACCAAAAGAATGAGGGAAGTACGAAGGATCAGGTTTCTCAACAAGAGAGCAGAAAAATAAACACATTTTAATGTACAGCATGTCTCTTGCCTTGAGAACAATAGGTGAAGGCATAATTTGTAGAATAATAGGCGCTAATATTATATGCTGCTTTAGCTCTGTCATATTTCCAATCCATCAAGTTGATTAATGTTTAAGTCTCCTTCAAGTCAACCTCGATTCCTAGTGACTTCATGGACACATCCAAATAGTTTTCTTACATTCTTCAATAATGTTTTTGTTGACTTTCCACATTAGTTTATAGCCATGGAATTTTCTGGTGATTTTTCCACAGCCCTTTATCAAGGCCAATTTGGCTTAGCTTCCAATCCTAGATAAAATCACACAACAAAGGTATAATTTGTTCAATAATGAAATCAAGCCAAATTTATTATTTGGTTGCTAAATGCTTTTGATCTGTAAGTGATGTTTGTCCATAATACTTAAGCTACACTAAAAGAGGTTAGGGATAAAATCAAGCATAAAACCCATCAACGAAATCTGCCTTGGGTTTGAATCCCGCAGGAGAAATCACTAGAAAGAATCACACTATTTTATAGTTCAAAGCTTATTTAACAAGCAGAAGTGCCCCATCTAAGAATATACAAAAATATCTTAATATACTTTCCATTTAGCTCTCTTCCTCGTGTCTTGTTTCTCTGCAAAAACATTACCTCTTTCCTTCAGCTAAAATATGGTGAGAGACAAGTATCGGTCATCTTCTCAAAACATTAAGTGTAGTTTCCTAGTATGTCTTCACAGTCCAGATCATTTACCTGTAGCTAACCTAATAAAAGATGTGGTTGGCTCACTTGGCTACTGCCCATTAAAGAACATTAGCCTGTCATCCTAGCCCAATGAAACATCTTACATCAAACCACAGAACAGACAGATAGGAATACATCCCTCAGGCGGCATAATAAATAGTGCCAACTTGAATTGTTAAAAAAATATGCAATCTGATGTGATGAAAGATGAATCTATCCTGAACTGTCTTTAGCTATCCCAAAATCTGGTCAATCATATTTGCTCCAACTGTTAATCATTCTTTGAAAGAGATTGCTTTAAAAAGGATGATGTTACTGCAGGAGCAACCTAAACACTTCTCTGAATCAATTCCCATAACCAATCATTCTTAGCCAGTGCCATTATTAAGGATGATAAATACCTCACAGAACAATTCAAGAGTCTGTCCTCTTTTCATCTCTATAATTTTCTCAATTAAGAAAATGTTCTCTGATTTTAAAAGCAAATCAACATATAGGCTGAGCATTGCATAAATCAAGTAAATATATCAAGAATATAGTAAATAGTAAATATAAGTAAATTGGATTATATATAACATATAATAAATTGGGTTAATTTCGTCCCCATCTGTTGATATAGATAATAAACTGTAATCTAAAGTTCAAACAAGCCAAGACATAGATAGGCAATCCTTATTCTGGCCCCTTCCTCACTCTACAGATCACACTACAATTGCCATAGAAATTGTGACATGGCATATTTCCCAAATGTAGTAGCAAGCTCATTTTCAAATGAGGTAGCAAGTATTAATACAATAACAGTATTTAGCATGCTGACCATACTGTTAGAAGCGTGAATAAGATCTTTCAAACTGGCCCTACCTTCTTACATTTCCCTGCCCTCCAACTCAACTCAAAGGATGTGCAGCCAAATACCAGCTCCTTATGCCTACGAGTACCTTTATGGATAACTAGTTGTATGAAATGTGGTTTGACACTGTGATGAATTTTATCACTGTACAATTCATGGTATCTGCCAAAAAAACTATAAATGTGCTTACTAAAACTATTTAGAACATCAATGAGTTCGTGCTCTGTAATAAAACAAATAAAAATTAGAGATGATTGCACTTACAACTTATCCTGCATAACAGCAGTGAAAATTGTACAAAACGTTCTATAGAATACTAGAGTATTTCTAGACAATTATGAAACACATTTGAAAAATAAAAATCTGATTTACTAATCAATCTTGTCTAATAGAAGTGAAAATTCTAGGGAAAAAATATGGAAAAAATTCTAGAAAATTCTCAAACACATTTGGAAAATAAAAATCTAATTCTCTAAGCAAATGTACTAAGTAGTAATACATCATAAATAATTTTTAAAATGTACTTCCAATGGCATATAGATGCAGGATTCTACCGATAGTTTGAATTTTTCTTGTTTTAAAATAACTATATATAAAACCTTTATTACTTCAACAAACCTGCAACCAGTCTGATGCTTCAGTTTAAAATAATCTCTCATCCATTAGGAATGATCAATAAAGAATGCACAAATACTTCCCTTTATAAATTAGCTGCTCACTTTCATCCAACATAAATAACTACATGAAGACATAATCAATTTCAAAATGTACTTAGGCCCTTTCATAAAACTGACCTTATACTATTCATAAAAAGGGTCAGGAAAACAAGTTCATTGGATAACAAACCAGAAAAGTAACTTGAATAATTTTCCTATATTGGACTTATGAAAGAGACTTGTTAACAGTTTGAAGAATTTTGAGAGAAGCGACAAGAAAAAAGAAAAAGAATCCCAAATATTTATTTTAAGTCATCATTTTAGAGTACAAAATTATGTATTCATCCATAATCTTTCTTTATATTAATTAAAATTGCAATCCTATGCATACTTGTTAAGAAAGAAGTAAACTAAAGCAAAGAAATTTTAAATGTACTGACTTTGGATTACATAGGTATAACTCTAATTACAAAGTTGAGTTAAAACCCTAAATGACTGTTCCAGAGATACAATGAAGCTTACATTCATGGAATGGTTATTAAGCTATAAGTGCATTCATATTTAGAAAATGCTTCCAAGAGGAAATCCAGCTGAATATTGTCTTCCTGAAAAATATGCTTCAAGGAATATGCCAAAACCTGCTCTTCACTGACAGAGATATGTGTATCTGTAAGAAAAGTGGGCAAGATGGTACCCTCCTGGTGGTTTACACTTAAGGTAGTCAGGGATTATAATCTACATCTGGAACACTGAGTCTCCCACATCATGGACAAGTTCCACACACTCTTACAAGACTTTGTATTTTGATACTCCAAAAATGTGTGGTTATATACTCTGATCTACCTTCTATCATACAGATGATAGAGGAGTACTGGGAACTCTTTTGGAATTCCACATCATGATGCTGCAAAATAGATAAATGTGAAAATGAAGAAATAGGGGAGGGAAATAAATTAATTACAGATATGACATTTCTTGTTCAGGATTCTTTAAAATGTGTTTTCTCACGAAATTGCCAACCATAAGAAATAATTCCATCTAGCTAAACAATATAGATTGTTATGAATATAGTAAAGAAAAAAGCTAGAAACAGGTTTGAACTATAATCCTTCAAGAATAGACTTTGACATAATAGTTGACAGTAGTAGAAGTAGCAATCTCAAGTCTGCTGGGGGTTGCTAAATTGTATTAGCCAGATGTCTTGTTATCTATTTGACAGAAATGCAATCGAAAATCATTCTTAAGATTATTTCACCACAACTTTTTTTGTTCCACTCACAAAAATAATTAGTACTGTACTTTTTGGAGCATAAGACACACTTCCCCCCCTCCTAAAAGAGGGTGGAAATGTTGGTGCATCTTATACACCAAATACAGCCATTTTTGGCCTCCTGAAACCCTGCCCTGTGCGTCCCATTTTTGACCTCCCAAACCCATGCGTCCCGTTTTTGCCCTCCCCAGCCCCCAGGAGCACTCTGCAGGACTCTCAAACCATTTGCGCATCCCATTTTTGCAAAAAACGGGCCTGTTTTTCGCAAAAACGGGATGCGCAGAGGGTTTGGGAGACCTGCAGAGTGCTTTTGGGGGCCGGGGAAGGCAAAAACTTTTTTTTTGTTTACCTCTTTGAAATCTTGGTGCGTCTTATACTCCAGTGTGTATTATAGTCCGAAAAATACAGTATATTGGTCAGACATGTCTGATAATATAACTCTAAAGTTAGAGCACTAGTTAATGTATTGATATCTGAATTATTGATGAATTAGTTTAAAATTAACCTATACACACACTGAGATACACAGTAACAAGGCACTCTTACATTCCAGACATGAATCCTAGCATACAGTATTCCCATTCCTAAATTTTGTTAACTTCTACTTAAAGTCAGGCTATTGAACTATATTACACATTCAATTTTTTTGAAGGAAAAAAAAGCCTTTTTATGTATTCTGCATCTAAACTCTTTTCATTGTGCTTTTGCAGTACACCAGTATACTACTTTAACATACGCAGGTATTTGTTATCCTGTTTTCCTTGTTCATTAGAAGAGCACTCTTAGAAAGCTTAAGTTTGTGCTGCATTCTGTATATTTATAATACAGAACAGTCATGGCTCAACTTCCTAAATCAAAATGCATATTTTTGGATTTACTGAAGATGAACTTCAGGGTACTGTTTTGTGTGATAACGTTTTCTAAATATTAATGAGCAAATGGTGAAAGTCTGCTTGTCAGAGTAGCCTTTTCTTCCAGTGTAAGGTCATCTCACAATTTTTGGTAAATAAATATTTTCCACTCAATATCCATAGAACGAATCTTTCATTCAGCTTAGGAAAATTCTTTCTTCAGACTCACTAACATATCATTCTTGCAACCACTTTTCTTTTCCAACATTATCAGATGATATTTAAGTTGCTGCAATAAGAAAGATTAAACCTTGATACCATCTGAAAACCAAGATGTTAACTCTCAAGCAGTATAGGAAATGTATTTCCTTATCCTGAGAGTTCATTTGTGATATTCATATGATAAATCTCAATAAATCCTCATATTTGTCTGAATATGAATAAGAATAGGTTCTACTGGATGTAGACTTAAAATAGATTTTAAGTACTGCAGTGTATGAAAACCAGTTTGAAATATGGTTACCATTTATAGCATTAAAGGGGGAAAAATTTTCTTAGCATGAGAAGCCATGTCAAGCAGATCCACCACAATTTGAATCAGTAAAATTTTGCAGAGTAAAATGCAAGCAAAATGACTTCTTCATTATCTGGCCAACATCATCACGAAAAAACCTCTTAACGCTTCATAAATGATTTGGTCATCATTTTATATTTAATCATTAGTGCATTAGAGCAACAGACTATGCTCAGCATGTTCAAACAAATGCAACTTACCAAGTGAAAGGGGCATCATTTCAGAAAATCAACATTTCTTGTACAACAGATAAACAAGGATAGAAAGCAAAAAAGCAATTATGCCTGGCACAGGCTACATCCTTTCTCTAGAAAGAAAAGGCATTTTTAAAGAGTTGACATCTCAACTAAAATCACAACCTATTTTGGGGCCAAGAAAAATCTTCCTTTTCTTTTTTTAAATATAATAACCCTAAGCCATTTAACTGCATATGCAATGAAGATCAATATTTTATTGCTGCCATCTCACCACAGCAGTTATAGTTAACTGGAACTGCATAAAGGAGTGACTGTTTTCATGAACAGGGTCTTCTACTAGTAGTCAATCAAATTTCATTTTTATTTTTTGATATTAAATTTCACATTTATGACCATGTTATGCTACTATACATCTAAGGTAGAAAAGGTGATAATAAAGAAAACAGAGACAGAAAATACATTATTTTAAAAAGTGAATGTGTGGAGAAGATACCTCACTGGGTTAGCTTGATGAATGCATGAACTTAATATACAGGTAATCCTTACTTACCAACTGAGTTCAATTATTGTTTGAAATTGTAACTGTGTGTAAAAACACAGTGTAATGCAAAAGCCATATATATACAATCAATTCTTGCCTTTATAGCCATCACAATATCCTACAGTCATATGATGGACAATTACGATTGACTGTCGCACCATTTGATGGATACATGATCACCATTTACATGCTTCCCAACTAGCCTACAACAAGCAGAGTTAATGGAGAACATGGAAGTAAAATCAAGTCACAGTCATGTGATGTTTTGCTTAATGACTGTGGTAACTCCTTTAACAATTGAATGGGAAGTAATGTCTTAAGTCCATAAGGATGACATGATTTTTCACTTAGCAACTGCCGCACTTAGCAATAGGGCTGCTGGTCTCCATTATGGCCACTAAGCAAGGACTACTTATATATTATAAATATATAGGCAGTATAAATGCAAGATTACTAGATATCCAAATCTTTTATATATGCATCCTATCTTTCTACAGGAGAACATATACAGAATCAGCTAATATTTGCCACTACTTCCTACATCAAATTATAAAGTAGATTATATTAAGAGGCAGTTAATTAACCCAATGCTACACCATGAGATTCACAGCTGAGGGCTTCAGCTATGATGACTTTATACCAGGCATAATATTGCAAATCTCTTTATTTTAAAGATATTAACTTTCAAAATAATAGATCAGGAAGAACTAAACTGGTGCCTACTAAGTGCTTTTGATTTCAGTTCCCATGACTTCGTGCCAATGTAGTCATAGTTAAAATAGTTTTTCTTTATTTTTATTTCGACACTGCCCACCTCAGGTAAGTAGTTAAAATATTAGTGAATTGCAATAAAAAATCTGAAGAATTCTTGGTTGCTAGCATTCTCCTAAATCACATAGTTTTCTTGGCAGTTAAAGGGTATGTCCTACTTCTGTATTATAATTCAGGAAGATAAATTCCATAATATACAAGGCATTTTAATTTTCTTATGTATTCAATATGTAGAGTGTATCTATGAATCTAAGGTTACTATTTGGTTGTTACACTTAAGGACTCAAAACATCTTAGATCATTAATTAGATCATAAGCACTATGGGAAATTTGAGAAGCTAAGAATATAAAAAGAAAGTATATAAAAAGAAAATGAACAAACTTACAGGCTATATCATAGTGCACATGTAAAATATATCATGATATAGTCATATGATATGACTATATCATAGACCCAAGTATATAACTGATCATAAAAATATAAAATTGTCCAATCACTTTTTAAAAAGAATATAAAACCTCAGCACTCTCTCTTACTTACTAGAGGAACACAGGGTTTTCAAGCCAGCAAGTCAAAAGATGGTCACATGAAGTCCTTGCTTAACAACTTATATGGTCCTCACTTAATAACAGCAACCAGGATCGCTGTTGCTAGGTGCTCAACTGTTAGAAATTGTGATAGCACTGAATGACTCCTACTTATGACTGGTCCTCGACGTTCCAACCATTGCAGCATCCTGCAGTCACGTGACTGCCATTTGTGAGCTTCCCTGCCAGCTTCTCACAAGCAAAGTCAATGGGGAAGATGGCAGGAAATGTCACAAGCTGTTATGGTGAGTATCCCTCCCACCTTCCTGTGCACCGTGCTGCACTTTTCTTCCCTTGCACTCATACTGACCCATATCCTCCTTCCCTTGGCCTCCTTGTGCTCATATCAATCCACACCCTCCTTCCCATGACTTTCCTGTGCTCCCCCTCCCCCAATTCATATGTGGCCTGCACTGGGCATCCCCCATCACCTGTGGCATTTTTGTGCTCCTTACCTGGAATTTTCACTTCTCACTTGACTTCCACTTTCGGATTACAACAGCAACCTAAACTGCCTGGACTGCTATCACTAACAATGTGATCATGTGACATCATGCTTTACATCATCACTTACCAATGTCACTTACCGTCCGAAGGGCAGTCCCAGTTGCGGTTGTAACCCAAGGACTACCTGTATTTTCCATCATGTTCCATTTTAAGTAATGCCTCATTTCCTACTTAAGCTCATCTGTTTAAAAGATGCACAGAAGACAGACCCCGACCTACTGGCATCCCCTTCAAACAGATAAGCAAGAGTTTACATGTCTCAACATGCAGATAATCTCAAAAATATAACTCACAGAATTTACAAAAGCACTGGCTCCACCCTGGAAAACATCACTTTGCATTTGCCTCCATACCTCTTTTTGCACATGGCTAGGATTGGCAGATCTAACAAAGAATAAAGGGAATCTCAAAAATCTGAAACACACACAAAACTGAAATGGGTCATTCAAGTGTAACAATGAAGATAACTCTTCACGTTGCATGTTAATGATACTGACACTATTATGACTACTGAGTCATGAAAACCTCCACAGTCCCAGCAACTACAAAATGCATGGCAGCAAAAATACTCAGGATAAGCCATTATGCCTGCCTTTATTTGTGTGGCTGGGTTGGGTTAAGTTAAAAGTTCAGTTTAACTTAACTTTAAGGTAAAGTTAAAGGTTCCCTTGCACATATGTGCTAGTCGTTCCCGACTCTAGGGGGCAGTGCTCATCTCCATTTCAAAGCCGAAGAGCCAGCGCTGTCCAAAGACGTCGCCGTGGCCAGCATGACTAAACACCAAAGGTGGTCCCTATTTTTCTACTTGCATTTTTTACGTGCTTTCGAACTGCTAGGTTGGCAGAAGCTGGGACAAGTAACAGAAGCTCACCCCATTAAGCGGCACTAGGGATTCGAATTGTGAACTGCCGACCTTTCAATCGACAAGCTCAGCATCTTAGCCACTGAGCCACCGCATCCCTCATTGGGTTAGGTTAAGTTGGGGCAATCAATAAGGGACAAGCAGCAGAGTGACAGTGGCGCAACTTCATGACAAAATTGGGGCTTTCAAAACTGTAGGCCGTTATTACTGTTTTTTTAAAAAAAAAATCCTGCTTTTTTTTAAATAAGATGGTGAACATACATAACATACTCCTCCTCCCTCCTTCCATTTTCCCAACAACCCTGTAAGGTGGGTTGCGGCTGAGAAAGAGAGAGAATGACTGGCCCAAAGTCACCCAGCCAGCTTTCCTGCCTAAAAGGGATGCCTACAAATCAGTCTCCCCGTTTGCAGGCCAGCACCTTCACCTCTACACCAGGCTGACCAAGACATCTAGGAACTGAGAGCTCCAAACACTTCTGGGCTAGCAGGGTAAGGAAGCAGAAAAGGCTCTTCCGCTAATAATACTGACAGGCCTCCATCCGGAATGGGGGGTGGTGGTGTTTTCTCCAAAATGCAAAAAAGCGAACGGGACAGCAAGCTTGTCCGCGCTGAAGAAGGCGACCTTTCCGGCCCAGAAGGGAATTCCAGTTTCCCTGGGCAACCCCAGCCTCACCGCCGCCCACTCTAGTCCAGGCAACTCTCCAAAGGTCGTGCGGCTCTCCTCCTCCTCCTCCTTCGGGAGACGCAGCCCGGGCCAAACTCCGCGTGCTTGCAAAATCCCCGCGAGGAGGAGGGACGTTTGCCTCTGCTTCCCTTCCGCTCCCATTCCCGCCGCTGCTTCCCCCCCCCTCACCTGCTATCTGAGTCACGAAGGCTTCCGCCACCAGTGACATCCTTCCGACGACAGGAGAGTCCCTTCCACTCCCGTCCCCACCAGGCCGTGTCGCAAGCGGCCGAAGGTTAAGGACACCCAACGAAGAGCACGGCGGCTGCGCCGACCAGCCTGCGGGAAAAGTGCATCCGGGGCCTGCTCCGCCCCTCGGAGGAGAAAGCGCCTGCTTGCAAGAAGAGCGAAGAGAAAGCCGTGCTTTGCCGCCGCTACGGGTCAGAGCCAAGAAGGGGTTGCGGTCCCGGTTCTCCCATGACTCGCACCCGGGTGTGTTAGATTCGTGGTTGGTGCATTGTAGTCCGCCGAAGTGCAAACCTCTGATGGGCTCGCTGATCGCGAAATGCGCCAATTTGTTTTTGCCTTTTTTTTCCCCCCTGGCGTTTTTGACGAAGGGCTAAAGGTGGGGAGTGGGTACCGATCCCGAAATAAAAATTCCCGCAAAGTTGATTGCCCCAACCCTCAGATCCATTCAGGCACCTGCATGGGAGGGCAGCCTTTAGGGGCCACCTAGGAACGCAGTCCCTGTCAAATGATGGCTCAGCAGATAGGAAGTTTTAGGTGTGCTTTTTTCAAGGGAATAAAAAGAATTTGTAATTAGCTGGAGAATTACACATAGCAGAGGTACTTAGTTTGATTTAGTTTGTGAGAACTTAGGCAAGAAAAACCAAAAGTACACATATATATTGGGAGAAACCAGGCTTCACAGCAGTAATTGTAAGAAAGATCTTGGAGTCTTAATGGACCAAATGTGAGCCAATAATGTGCAGTGGCAGCCAAAAAAGCCAATGCAATCCTAAATTGCATTAACAGAGGGATTCAATCAAGATCACATGAGGTACCAATACCACTTTATAAAGCCTTAGAATACTGGCATTTCTAGAATACTACATCCAGTTTTGGTCACCATACTATAAAATAAATGTTGAGACTCTAGAAAGAGGGAAGAGAAGAGCAACAAAGATGATTAGGGGACTGGAGGCTATATGAAGAATGATTGCAGGAACTGGGCATAGCTAGTCCAGTGAAGAGAAGGACCAGGGGAGACATGATAGCAGGGTTCCAATATTTGAAGGGCTGTCACAGAGAGGAGGAGGTCAACTTATTTTCCAAAGCACCTGAAGGCCAGACAAGGAATAATGGATGGAAACTGATCAAGGAGAGATTCAACTTAGAAATAAGGAGAAATTTTCTGACAGTAAGAACAATCAACCAATGGAACAGCTTGCCTTCAGAGGAGCTTCATTACTGGAAGCTTTCAAGAAGAGACTGGACTGCCATCTGTCAGAAATGGTGTAGGGTCTCCTACTTGGGCGGGGATTGGCCTAGATTATCTACAAGGTCCCTTTTAATTCAGTTATTATGTTAACAGTTGTAAATTTTTTCTAGGGCTTCAATAGGACATTTTATTTACCTCAGTGACACTGAATGGTTTACAAATAAAAAATATACAGTAATGTAAAAAAACATAATTAAAAAATAGTTAAAAGTAGAATTATGAAATTAGAGGCTAGAATATATAAATATGAAATTAGAGGGTAAAAATTTAAAAGTTAAAAATGTAAAGGGGCTGGGGAGGGAGTGCCCTCAAGCCCCCAACCACCACATGGTTCATATCATGCCAATTGGAAGAGGCAGGTCTTGACATTTTCCTGAAAAGCCAGAAGGCTGGGCAACATGCTTAGAAAATAGAAGGAGCAGTGACAGAATTTGGGCCAAGAAGCAGAAGATGGATACCATCCCCACTTCCCAGAAGGCAAAGCAAAAAGTGGGGCAACTCCCATTAGTACCGAAGAAAGCTGTCCTGTTGCTGTGTCCTGCGTGATTTGTCCCTTTTAAATTTCCTTATACTGTCTGTTCTAACCTTTATTTGCAAAGGAGAAAAAATTTACAATATTTGGATCTATGGTAACAAATAAGGTTTTGCTATTCATTGGTGTCTTCCTTCAAACCACAGTAGAAATACTGCTCAAGGAAATCTAAGTGGCACCTGTGACTGAGCAGTGGCTGCCTCCCTTGGGATCCCACCAGGTTGTCCTCATCTGACTTCATATTTTTAAAGATGGTTTCTTCTAATTCAGAACTGATTAGAAATGAAAGACTAGCATACTGCAAAGCAAAGTAATTGTCTCCAGCATCATATTGATTTACAATAATATCTTTTGGCCCTTCATATGTTTATGGGCATTCCTGTAAAAGACAAATGGTAAACAGCTATAGCCAAATGTTTGGGGGTGGGGGGGAAAGTGTATCCACTGACAGGGGCGGGGAAGGAGACATAACCCGAAAGCTGAGCTATCATGACAGGGAGCATTGTTGGAAGCTGGAAGAACTGGTGCAATGGAACTGCCTAAAATGCCATATTCTGGTAAAGGAATGTTTTGTGAATGGCCACACCTATTGTTGCAGCCATTTTGTAAATAATAAAACTACTTCATGGTAGCCATTTGTGCAAGTGTCCACATTATGGTCTCAAAATTACAAATATGCTCACCAGGCCAAAATATTGACCAACATCAATATATATAAATTTCAAAGTTCAGAATATTTATGAAAATACATACTTTGGAATTATATGTTTGTATTTTACCTTATTATTAGGGAGCTGCAGTACTGGAGATCTATGATTTTGGTATAAGTACATATTACACACATTCACCCAGATACAAATTCTCTCATAGATATGACTTTAAACAGCACTGACTAACAGTAAAGCTGACAGTATATATTTGAACAATTTCAATGTCTCCAGGCTTTCTGTTTTCTTACTTCATATTTCATTTTAATAGCAGAAGCAGAATTAAACTGTCAGCAATATTTGAGAAGCCAACACTGTTTATGTTACTAACGGTTTTACATCCGTCATGACTTACGTAGTAAATGTCATCACCTTCAAACATATGCCTTGCCTCCATTTGCTGGATAGTTATGTGGCTAATCCTCAAACCAACAATCCATCATAATGAACAAAATTATGATAAATATCCCCATCAGTTATAATACTGCAATATTGGTCAATGCTTTTCATTACCGCGTTGTCTAGATCTAATTTCAGTGTGGCTCTTTCTTACTGTATTTCCACAGTGAGCTACTCATTATCTCTGGCCTAATCTTCCAATTCTCAATGAAGCAGGGAGGAGAGAGCAGTCTAATGAAAGGTTTCATGGGATTTTCACATCAGGTTGTGTGGACCATGAAGAATGGTGTTTGACCTTGAAAAGAATAACTGTTTATTATATAAAATAAAAGTTTTTCTCCTTTTGTTACTGCTTTTTGAGCTCTTTTATATTAAAAAAAAACAAGAACTGGAATAAAGTAAGATGTATACTTTATTACACTTGTCTTCAGCCTTTTATCTGTTGGCTCTGTTGTTCATTGAGAGTTCCAGCATATACAAATACATTTTACAAAATGTTCATACAACAGAAGTTCACTCATCATCCAGAAACAAATGTAGTACTGGATTTTGTGGTTAAAGCCAACTAGTAAAGCTTGTCCAAGCAAATATTTTTGGCCTTGTTTAACTAAATTCAATCTCATAATTGTGACATAGCTGGAAACTTGTGGTTGCAAAATATAGTTGTCCCAAAATGAACTTTTGCCCAGGATGAGAATAATTTTAAAATTTCCCCATCACAAAATGTCATTTTTGGAAGTCATTTTAGAAAGGGAAATAAATTACTTATGAATGACTGTTGGCCACCCATGTGTTAGAAAACATAAACTAAACCTGCTAATTGTACAGTTATGGTACAAGCATGCCATACTGAGCCTAACGCATAATCTCTCTAGTGAAGGCTTTGTTTGACAAGAAAATTAGTTTGTGCACTCTAAACTTTTTTTTTCTTTAGTGTTTCTAGGTATCAGATATTACCGTAACTGTACTCAGACCTGGAGTGTGCTGGATCATGCACTGATTAAACACTTCCTGCACAACTAGTGTTGCTGATCACATCCCAGTATATTCTCAGTCACCATTGCTAGCCATAATCTTTCAGATATTAGAAAATAAATTGCTCGCGCTGACTGTGATGAAGTTTCCAAACTAGTGTATTCTCTTGGCTAAGTATTGTATTACAAAGAGAGACTATGGGTTTCTTATACTCTATGTACCAGTGGATAAATGGATCTTAGTTTGGCTCCCATTAAAAATATCCTTGCTGTCTTCTAGAAAAATAAGGGGCAAGTCTCATCCACTTGTATTTTGGCAAGATTTTTTATAAGCTCTGGTGATCAGACATCTTTTACAGCAGCCCTGTAGTTCAACTGTTCCTGTTCCCCCTTCAGAGCCCCCGCAGGATCTGTTGTTCACAATCTTTTCTGTAGATAGCACTAACTTCATCCAGTGCAATTTCTGCCTATTTGCTATTTATATAGTCTACAGCCTGAAGGCCAATCTTTAGTTCCCAACTAATTCTCAAGATTTCAGGCACATGAATTAAATGTTTGCCCTTTGAGATCAGCCACAAAAAAAGAAAGGACATTTCTTCAATTGATAAAATCTTGCAACTGACTTTCTGCAATAATGGACAAAGGCATAAGAAAATAATTCGCATTTTCCACGTGACAGAAACCTTGTATCAGGATTGTCAGTGTCTTTTCTGCTCAATGCTCTTGTCATTTAAATCTTTGATAAGAATCAGTTGGAAATCGAGTTATATAGCTGCAACAGCTTCTTGCAAATTGTAGATAGAGTTGATATTGCAGATACCTAATTAATGTGACATCACCTTATTTCAGTCTCGGGCATTTTTGGCAATGCTGAATTGTTTTATAT